AGACCCGATTCATAGCAACTCTAAATGTATAGAAAAGAGGGAAAAAAAAAAAAGAGATTGCTTTCAATTTGTTGTAAATATACACAAAATTTATCATGGGAGTGCTGAATACTTATCATTAAAATAATTTTCTCCATCTAATATTTTCTACAAGTACATATAAATAATAAAAATTAGGGTCATATTTATTTGACCAATTAATCGGAAAGCACACTCTGAGTACCTACCATCATATATTACTATTTTACTGAGAGGTCCTAACTCATTTAGAGGGAAGAACAGATGAAAATTAGGTGACTGACTGATAAAATCAATTGAGGATGAAGAAAGTTAGATGTGTATGTAACTGACTTGAGGTGTTAAAAAGGCAAAATCAATGTAAAGGAAAAGATATAAAAATGTTCTATTACTTCACATAAAACATCAAAAAAAGAGACTGCCCTTACTACTAGAAAATCAAGTTTAACATATTTCAAATAATATCATTTGCTTGTCTATCCTGCTGTAAGTATGGCATACTTAAATATTGTTGCATATACTTGTAAAAATGAATAAAGGTAAAATCTTAGTATCTCTTGTGGTCTTTTTAGACCATGTTAATTTTGTTTTTTGGTTAAATAACAAAGGAATAGGATTATGGATACATTTCAGCAACAAGCTTTTCATTAGGGTATGAAATCATGCCATGAGTTCCAAAAAAAGGGTTAGTTGTATAATTTGGGAAATAATCACTCATGCAAAAATCAGAAAATACCTGTACCGAGCCACCATGTCTGTCTGCTGCAAGGTGAGCTCTCAAATGGTGGGGATTTGCCTGCTGGGAGTCCCAAGCTGCCCTGTGGTCTGTCGACTGCCATTTATTTAATGCATATGGCATGCATGGAAGAAGAAAAACCCAATACGTTAAACATCTCATCCTTATGATATATTAAAACAAATGTATAAAAGGAAATTTCAAATATCCTTACTATTCTAAATCACAGATGTAGTTATCTTTGCATACTGATGTGGAGAGATTTTAGTAAAATCACTAGAACTATGTAATGACCAACAATAAAAAATAAAATAGAAATACAGAATTTTAGATGTGAAAGAACTTAGAGAGCAAGGCTCCGCCCTTTAACCCCATAAATGAAGCTAACAAAGAACCTGGGAGGTGCTCAAGAAAAGAGCTCCAAGTAAATGATGAGCACACTAAAACACTACCTACTCTGTTTTCTTACATTAAGGTCTCCATTGGTTTTCTGATGAGGATCTACTTTTAACAATATTAGAAAGATAGTCCTTAAATAGTTTACTTCGAAACTTAACAAAAAATTTCTTGCTTGCTTAGTATCCTATTTCTGATTGTAAGGATAATAAGAGAAAATAGAAAAGTTCTTTGAAAAGTGAGAAGTTCTAAACAATACTGTGAGGATACAACAAAACAAGCAAATTTTTGGGGAAAAAAAGCCAATCCTATATATGAATCCCTTTGATTCCTTTTTATCTGGTCAAATTAAAGGTCTGAATTATCAGTTGATAGATAGCATCATTCTTATTTTACTGATGAAGACATTGAGGCATTAAGACATTAAATACTTCCCTGAGGTCAGAGCTAGGAAGAAGTACAGCAGGGATCAAAACTCAAAGCCTGATGATCTTACTATACACTTGCTCCTTACCACAATTACATACTTTCTAAAGCCTTCACTGTTTTTTCTTTTTTTTTCCCCAAGCTAAATCTAGAAAATCTTGCCACAAAGTGTCAGGTAACAAGACCCTCAAAAAAAGGTATCTTTGTACATTTCAAAACCACTGGGCATAACCCATAGGTTTAAGTCAGAGGTGGTTTTAAAATGCTGGCCAAATGATCTCTTGCTTTAGTTACTTCTAAGTGCACAGTCAGCTATAATTTCCTCATAGACTTCTATGTTTCTCTGACATTTGTACAACTGCCTGGAGATTCAAGGCTCATCCTACTCTTAAGCACTGGGCTATATAGCAGATCTATCCCAAGTTTTAGAGTGTGGGTTAGTGTCAGTATGCTCTGTTTGTAGAAGTAGACAGTGGGCCTCTTTGCTAGATGAAGAATAGCTAAATACTATATAAAGGAGAAAATAAACATTTGCTTTGGAAACAGTACATATGGGGTATCTAGTAGTTCTCCATTTTTTCCTATTCTTTGTGTTTCTGAAGGGACAGCTATAGCCTTATACTATAGTAAGGAGTTTGGGCAACAGGCTGTTTTATGCTACAAGGTCCAAGCACATGGATGGCCACAGTAACCTTTTGGAGAGGAGATGTTAAATTCAAGTAAACATAATGAAGGAAAATAAATGTTCTGGTACTAAGCTTCCAGCATTGAATTGCACAATGCAAAATTACATGATCTATAGCATTAAGAAGTTTGTTAAAAGTGTATCATCAATGCAATTATGACAGTTCTTGGTCTTTTCATTAACTCCAAATATATAAACAGAATTTAGTAGATCTGTAGCTTAAACTGAAATAAATTAGATAAAATGAAATCTAGACAAGATAAAAGAATAAAAATAATTCTAAGTTGAGACAAATAGCTTGGGTAACAGGCAATATTTTGGGGTTATGAAACTTCCTTTAGAATACAATAAAGGCTATGAACTCTCTCCTCAGGGAGGAAAAAAACATATACGTGCACTCAACATTTTATATACAATTTTGGGATTCTGTCAACTGCAACCATTGACTCTAGGTTAAGTATCTTTTATCTGGGGACAATACAAAGGATTTAGTCATTTTAAAGGACTGTCTTTTTTCTTTTCCTTTATGATTATGAACTATGGGCTTCTCATGAAACAAAAACTCAGTGCATTATCAGATAGTTAAGAAGGGTTTTTTCTAAATACAACTTTTCTATCATGATGAGGAGCCTCTTTCAAATTCAGTAAGCCTATCCTGAAGGATTTCCTGGAATAAAAATATATATTTATTAAGTCCCTATATTTAGTGTCATAAGGACTACAGAATATAGTTCTCATCTTACAATCTACCTAGCAGGACGTCTGAAACTTCTAGAAAGTTAAACTCTAAATTACTTAAATTGTATTTAATTCAACAACAAAATAAGTGTTTCATTTATTACAATACTTAACAGCTCAAGTGCAGAAGTTCAGAAAACAACAATTACTGATGTTTTTCCTAGTACATTCAAGAAATTAACTGATTTACAAAATCAGAAAACTATGAATCTTAATATCTGAGCCATTTCTGATTATATCTAATGTATTTGTAAGAGACCCAGTATCACAATGGTTAACCACAGAGCTGCTAACTAAAAGGCAGGCAGTTCAAACCCAGCAGTGGCTCCACAAGAGAAAAGACCTGGCAATCTACTTCCATAAAGATTACAGTCTAGGAAACCCTATGGCGCAGTTCTGTTCTATTCCATAGGGTCACTACGAGTCAGAATCAACTTGATGGCACCAACAATTTGTGACATTTTATTGTCGCAATTTTTCTACAGTGGGTGAAATTCTAAAACTAATCTTTATAAACTGGCTATAACATTTTATAGCATAATATGGTTAAATGTCTCCCACTGTATTTTATTTTACAGTGGTTTTATAAAAGTAGTGTACTTTCCTTTTATTTTTACCTTGTTTAACCCTTACTTAAACTCTGACAGGATAAAGGGAATAACAGAAAAGGGACAATACACTATCCCTCTGTTATAACCAAAAGTTTCTGTAAGAACACTGTTTTAACTCAGGATGACAGCAATTTTTTTTTTACACTAAAGGTAGTGTCAAGATTCTTTTTACAAAGAAGAGAAAAGTAAAAATAGTGCTCAGAAATTTCAACAGCTTTCTATTACCTTACCAGGAAACATGAACTCTTTATTCTTGATCAATCTTATACACCTTATCTCAATTTACTTTCCTCTACCTGCTCTCACTCCAACCAAACTGGACTCCTTGTTCTTCCTTAAAAAAATTCTGCATTTTAAACTACTGCTTCATATTTTATACTTTTCACTCTCTCCAAAATGCCCTTATTCCTTAATCTATCTTTAAACAGTCATTCATTCTTCAGGCAGTTTGCCTCATAAAATCTTTATAGTTCCATACACATTCCAGTAATCCTTCTTCTCCAAAGTACTTTATTAATACATTTTTTCACATGTTATAGCTCTTATTATTGTGTAATGTATGTATTTATGTACTTATTGTAATAATAAATACAATAGTAAAACTATTTAGATTTACTGAAAGTTTACTACGTGCTATGAATTAACATGAATTATTTCTATTTCATAGTGAGGAAACTGAGTCTTTGGGAGATTAATTAAGTTGCCCAGGGTCAAGTCACATTCAGGTATATTTGATTTCAGAGACAGTGAACTCTTGACTGCACCACCACTCTTAGCCACTCATTAGAGAATTGTTCTTGTATAGTCTTTCTGGAGAGCTCTGGTGGTGTAGTGCATATGGCATTTGACTGCTAAGCAGAACATTTCTGCATGTGTAGAATATTAGCTTTCAAACAGCAGAAATTCAACACATGATTTTATTGAACTAAACTAGATGATGGTTAGAACAATCAACTGCTATTATAATTCATCCCAACAGGAACAGAATATTCCCTCCTAATAGAATATCAAATACTGCTCAAAGTGTGTACTACTTTATACCACTAAGAATTTATGATTAAAAAGATATAGATTGGTTATGTTTGCTATTTTTCTACTTATAAAACATTTTTTATAGGCTATAAAATAGTGAAAATAAGTAGAAATAATATATTGATTAAAAAATTTGTATTACAAACCCTTCAAAATGTGTATATAATCTATTTGATTGAGAAAAATATGTATTTCAATTCTCCAATATATATATATATATGTGTATATAGATGCACACACAAACACAAATGTACAAAGCTGCCATCTGGATATGATCATACATCAAATGTATTTATAAATCGTCACAAGTCAATAAAGAAACAAATTAAGAAATTTCATATCTAAAATGACAGCAAACCTGATTTTTGGACTGTTGCATCTTATCTCTATGTTGATGTGCTTCTCTGTTTGATGATAGAGCAGGATCTTGCTGAACTGCACCCACTGGTGTTGGCTACAATGCAATAATAATTGGTATTGATATATTCTACTGGAAATGATTCTTATTTAAAAGGAAAAAAAATAGTTTATAAAAATGTTTAAATTTCAAATAATTCCAAACCTAACATAAGTATAAAAACTTAATATAAAAAAATAAAAGTTCATCTAGATTTAAATCATAAATAACAAATATATTCAAATCATTCAATCAACAAATAGATAAAATGGATGAATAAGTCAATAGTTCAAAATACGTTATTTTGAGAGTTTGGTAGTTCCAAATGCGGGTACAACTTTATTCACACTAAGTCACAATTAAAGAAAATTTTATAATATAGCCTTAGTTATTTAAAAAAATAACTTATGAAAGTTAAGTATTTGATTTTTTAAGAGTATCTTCAAAGAAAGAATTTAATGACATATCTTTAAATGATGAGCATCTATCTCACATTTATGACAACTTATAAAAACTTGTAAAAACTGAGTATATTTTTAAAAGTTCAAATATTTTAATTTCTAAGTATCAATCTATTGTAAGAAACTACCTATATTATTATCATTGTTTTATTAATTCTGCTGTAATAATTAAAACTTATTTTTAAAAATAAGGGCGCTCTGGTGGTATAGTGCTTAATGCATTTGACTCCTATGCAGAAGGCTGGTGGTTCAAACCCGCCAGCCACTCCTCAGAAACAAGATTGGGCAATCTACTTTCATAGAAATACCACCTCAGAAACTCAAGGAGAGGTCGCTATGAGTCGAATCGACTCAATGGCAATGAGTTTTTTTATTTTTATTTTTAAAAATAAGTAACAAATATATTAAAAAGATGACCAGAGTAAACAAACTTAGCAGCCTTTTAAGGTAATCATAAGAATATTGCAAAAAAAAAAAAAAAAAAAAAGTATATTTGACATAAGCACTAAATCAGAAATTAAAAGTTCAGAATATCTTATGATTTTAAAATGCAGGGAGTCTGAATGAAAGGTTTCAACAAACTTCAAAATATAATTTTAGCATTGTGCTAACTTAAGAAATATCCATACAAAGGAAATAAAGTGAATCATTTAAAAAAATTATTTGCTCTCAATGCTTTTCTAGTAGAATTTTAAAAGATGGATATTATAAATAACGTTTTATTATATAGCACAGTACTCACCAACTGTTTACCAATCCAGTCATATTCATAATCAAACATATATCCTTTTCGATCAAACAAGTCAGTGAAAAGCTTTCTTAGGTAGTCATAATCTGGTTTTTCAAAAAAATCTAGCCTTCTTACATAACGAAGATATGTTGCCATTTCTTCTATAAGGGAAATTAAAATTATTCTGTTCACACTTTTGTGTAATTCTCATTAATAACATTTTAAATGTCTAAAACCATGTTGTATTATAAAAGTATGAAAAAAATAATAAAATTCTATTGCCAGTTAAAATTCTCTTTAATATAATGAAATAAAAAAAAGGAAAAAGGGAGGAAAGAAAATAAGGACAAAACAGAAGTGAGTGGTTTAGTTTAATAACCATTATTTTTGCTTCATTTCATTAGGAAAGGTTAAAATTTTTATTCCATATTATTATTAATACTTTTGATAGTATTAGAGGTTGAACTAGCAACTTAATAAGGCATGACTACTTAGTCACACAAAGGACCATAATCAGCTCGTAAGTTTTAAAAAAAATTTAAAACACTGGTGGGAATTGATTTGTATGAAAGTGTTCACACTGGCTTGCTGGAATCCCTTTAGAACTGGTAACATACTGACCAATATAGGATTCAAATTCCTAGCCTTGACTATGAGAACATGTTATAAGCAATTGAACTAGCTAAATAAAGGTTAAAAAAAAAAAAAAAAATCTCAAAAATGTAACACAGGAAGACAGTGTAAATCTTCTCTTACATTTTGTTCATATACTTAACAATTACTTGGTAATATACAAATCCCTGCATACCATGGTAACGCTCGATTCTTTTTCTTTTTTTTTTTTTTTAAGTAATGCTTTTCAAAAACAAAAAACAAAATAAAAATCAACAGGCAAAATGGTAAGCAAAAGAGTACACAAATAATCACTATAAAAAGTGATGATTGGTTACACGTAGCTGCTTTTCTGCTCTAATTCATTCACAGTAAACCAGTAAAAAAAGGATCACACGCAGCCCAATGGGGAAACAAAAGTGGTACTCAGTGACCTTCCTCACATGTTGATCATGTCACCATTCCATTTTGCATCTGGTCAACTGACTAATTTACTTGGGCACTCACATTTTCTCTACAGTAATTTAATGATAGACACCAATTTGTCTACTCATGAACAGCTAGGACTACCAATCGATTGTCTTTAAATCTTCAAATTCTAGATGTTACAGGAAGAAAAGAAAAATGTGTGTGAATAAAAAGTTTAAAATAAACCTTCCTTTCTTTCTTCTCTTAGAATGACAAATAAACAAGCTAACTGAATAGCAAATAAAAATAATAAAATAAGAGTACTGACTATAAAACACAACTTTAGTAATTAAAAATGTTTGATAATTTAAGTAATAATTGTTTTGTACATTTTTTGGTTTAAAGTTTGCTGTCAATGAATAATATGAGAAAACATGAAATCATGCTAAGGATATTATTATTACAATAACAATACCAGCATTGCAAATGAGACCTAGTAAATATCAAAGTGAGACAGGAACTCAGTCATTTATCTTAAGGTCCAGTTCTCTTTCCACTTCATATAGACACACAAAACACAGCAGGTATTTTAATACATCAATAACAAATTATTCTTAATTAGTTGATTTACAACCTTTACTAAGTAAATTTTTATTAATTTGAATTGTCATAATCTGCTTTAAAACTAAATTATTTTTAAGTGAATTTGCTCTGTAAATCTTAACCCAAATCACAATAAAAAAAAAAAAACCTAAATTATTTTTATAAAACCACACTTATCCCAACATAAAAATAACCTGAAATGAGTAATGTTAGTTAAGTTTTACTCTATTTTTAAAGGTAAACTAAATTATATTTCACATACCTCTTGAGCTTGACACTGACACCCAAATGACTAACACTGTACTTTGTAAATATATAAAGGAATATAATATATCACTAGAGAAAATATTAATTCAGCTGGTATTGGTCAACACTATTAAGAAATGAAATTTTCTTCTATTACCATCTTACAAATCAAATCCACAAATTGCCCCTATGGTCTATGGATAAAATGACAGTATCTTTTAAATCACGTTTAGCTCATTTTTTTAAGTATAGGAAAAGCGTTTATGCACAAATGGAATCAATGAATATTAACAGTTCTGGTTTCCAGTGTATAAAGACATGTACCAACTTGGCACTGTTCATCACCTGGAAAATTTTCACATAACACTTCAATTGGTGTAGCTCGTTTTGTATCTCCAATTTTCTGATACCTCTCTTTTAATGTGTCAGCCTAAAATAGAAAAAAAAAAATTTTGAGAAAGTAATCATTGAAAAAGTATTTAGTTGGAAGACAGGATCTCAATATATATTAGCCATTTTATAAAATTCAATAAGGAAACACAGAAACAATTACCTTTAAACCTTGCCAAGGAAGACTGCCTCTCAGGAAATACATGAACATATGACCTAAAGCTTCTAAATCATCTCTTCTACTTTGTTCTGAAATGTAACAGAAACATACATTTCACTCTTACCTACCAGTTAAGGACACAAGAATGGGGAGATGACTCTTTCATTATGTATAAATCAATTCCCAAAAGTTCAATTTACAAACACAAAATACAGATCTAGTGCCTATATACGAAAAAGTCATGCCTAGTTAAATTGTTTTTACTTTGAAATAATCATAATACATTTTTTAAAATGCCATTATAAGCTTTTAGATACTATTGGCACATTCCTTACATATTTAGTCATGGAAATAAATACAAGGCAAAAAATAAAAATAGAGTTACATCGTCAGAGGGTCATTGTGTACTACAATTCCCTCTTAAACATTCAGAACATAACATATTAAAGGTTATAATAGACCCTAGAGTTAAAGTGCTTAAGTTCATTTAACCTTTTATTTCTTAAACTTAAGTAAACACAAAACACGCATACCATCTATACTCTATTAACATTATACACAATTAGTATTTTGTATGATGTATTTTCAGAAACACATTTTTTACTCATTTCAACATTAATAGTCCCTCCACTACCAGCAATAATATGCTGCTAGAACAAACTGCCACTTTCAAGGTGCTGCTATTGTTTTAGTAACAAATGTTGTATAGTGACAATCACAGACTAAGGCTCAGGAAGTTATTTATAAATATTTGCTGACATGTAAAGATTTTTTGGCACTGCAGTTAAGTACTTAACACTTCTTGGTATGTTTTTAAATAACATAAAAGTGCTGAGTACCAATGAAAGAAAAACTATCTTAATAAGGGGATACACACGTGAGAGATGTTTTACCCAGTGAACAGTTAGTTAATCATCATCCTATCTGAAAACAACTAACAGTTTTTCAAAAAGCAAACTTTTCAAAGTATAAATCTCAACTAGGGTGAAAGGGTCAGAAAACATTTTAAATTCCACTGTGTGCTCTCATAACATTCTATACTTACCTTTTATAATACTTTTCCATAGCTTGAAAATACATGCTATTATTTAACCAATAAAGGATAGCATAGAGCAAGGAGTCAATGTTGTTGTTACGTGCCATCGTGCTGGACCTGACTCACAGAGACCCCTCCTTGGGTTTCCCAGGCAGTATCACTAGGGAAGTAGATTACCCAACCTTCCTTCCAAGAAGTGGCTGGTGGGTTGAACCTCCAGCCTTCTGGTTAGCAGTCAAGTGCCTCAGGCACTACGCTACCAGACCAGGCAGTATTTTGTTCTGCTGTGCATAGAGCTGCTGAGAGTCGGTGACAACTCGATGGCACTTAACAACAACGACAACAATTAGTTACAATTTGATGAACATTATCGCATATATTTTTTCTATGCTTATAGAAAAGGAACATATATCTAATATGTTCAATATTATACATGGTCAATTAATTGTTCATTTATTTAAATAGTATATATTGAAGGAGTAAATATATACTGTTATATATATATATACACTATATATTTAAGGAGTCAGTATATACTATTATATATACTATATAGTGGGAGCTCTGGTAGCATAGTGCCTAAAGCACTTGACTGCTCACCAGAAGGCTGGTGGTTCAAACCCACCAGCCACTCCTCGGAAGGAAGGTTGGGCAATCTTACTTCTGTAGTGATACTGCCTCGGAAACCCAAGGAGGGGTCGCTATGAGTTGGGGCGGACTTGACTGCAAACAACAACAACAACAACATACTATATAGTATATATTGAAGGACTCAATATATACAATTTAAATAAATGTACAGTTGACAATATGTAATATTAGATATATGTTCCTTTTCTATAAGCATAGGAAAAAATATATGCAATAATGTTCATCAAATTGTAACTAATTGTTGTTGTTGTTGTTAAGTGCCACTGAGTCATGGCCGACTCATAGTGACTATACACAGCAGAATGAAACATCGCCCAGTCCTGAGCCAGCTCCATAATTCTTGCTACACTTGAGCCCATCGCCGCCGCCACCATGTCAATCCACCTCATTGAGGGCCTTTCCCTCTTTCATTGACCTTCCACCTTAACAAGCATGACATCTTTCTCCAGGGAATGGTCCCCTCTGACAACACGACCAAAGGATGTGAGATGAAGTCTGGCCGTTCTTGCCTCCAAGGAGCATTCTGGCTGCACTTCCTCCAGGACACACCTGTTAGTTCTTTTAGCAGTCCATGGTACTTTCAGCATTCTTCACCAACACCACAGCCCAAAAGCATCAATTCTTCTTTGGTCTTCCTTATTCACAGTCCAGCTCTCACATGAATATGAGGTAAGTGAAAATACTATGGCTTGTGTCAGGCGCACATCAGTCCTCGAGGAGACATCTTTGCTTCAGCACTTGAAAGAGGTCCTTTGCAGTCGATTTACCCAGTGGTATACGCTGTCTGACGTCCTTACTGCTGCTTCCATAGCCATCAATTGTAGAACCAAGCAATGTGAAGTCTTTGACAATTTCAATCTTTTCTCCATTTATCATAATTCTGCTTATAGGTCCAGTTGTGAGCATTTTTGTTATCTTTATTTGAGATGTAATCCATACTGCAGACTGTGTTCTTCAATCTTCATCAGTAAGTACTTCACGTCATCCTCACTTTCAGCAAGCAAAGTTGTGTCATCAGCATTATCACAGGTTGTTAATGATTCTTCCTCCAATCCTGATGCCATGTTCTTCTTCATGTAGTCCAGCTTCTCAGACTATTTGCACAGCATACAGATTGAATAAGTATGGTGAAAAGATACAACCCTGACACACTCCCTTCTTAATTTTAAACCAGGCAGTGTCCCCTTGTTCTGTTCTAACAACAGTCTCCTGGTCTATGTACAGGTTCCTCATGAGCACAATTAAGTGTTCTGGAATTCTCATTCTTCTCAATGCTATTCACAATTTGTTATGATCCACACAATCAAATGCTTTTGCATAGTCAATAAAACACAAGTAAACATCTTTCTGGTATTCATTATTTTCAGCCAGGATCCCTGTGACATCAGCAATGATATCCTTTGACCCACATCCCCTTCTGAACCCAGCTCGCATTTCTGGATGCTGTCAATATACTGCTGCAATCATTTTTTAATTACCTTCTGTTAGATTTTACTTGCATGTGATATTAATGATATTGTTCAATAATTTCCACATTCTGTGGGATCACCTTTCTCTGTGGAAAGGGTACAAATATGGATCTCTTCCAGTCAGCTGGCCAGTTAGCTGTCTTCCAAATCTCTTGGCATAGCCAAATGAGTGCCTCCACTGGGGCATCCATTTGTTGAAACATCTCAATGGGTATTCTGTCAATTCCTGGAGCCTTGTTCTTTGCCAATTCCTTCAATGCAGCTTCAACGTCTTCCTTCAATACCATTGGTTCTTGATCATATGCTACCTCCTGAAATGGATGAACATTGAACAGTTCTTTTTGGTACTGTGACACTGTGTATTCCTTCCATCTCCTTTGATGCTTCCTGCATCATTCATTATTTTGCCCATAGAATCTTCCAATACTGAAGGCTTAAATTTTTCCTCAGTTCTTTCAGCTTGAGAAATGCTGAGCATGTTCTTCCCTTTAGGTTTTCTAACTCTGGATCTTTGCACATTTCATTATATTAATTGGCTTTGTCTGCTCGAGCTGCTTTTTGAAAGCCTTGTTCAGTTCTTTTATCTTGTCATTTCTTCCATTTGCTTTAGCTACTCTTCACTCATGGGCAACTTTCAGAGTCTCTAAGGGCAACTTTCAGAGTCTCTTCTGACATCCATTTTGGTTTTTTCTTTCTTTCTCAGATTTTTAATGACCTCTTGCTTTCCTCATAGAGGATGCTCTTGATGTCATCCTACAACTCTTCTGGTTCTTGGTCACTGGCGTTCAATGCATCAA